AAAAAGAAAAACGAAAAAAAAAAACTAAAGTAAAATATTTGCATTTACACTAATCTTTTGCTTTTTAAAAGGAAGATTAATTACATGTTTTAATCTTTAATTAACATTAACAATTATTTATTTATTTATCAATTTATATAGTTTTCATTTCATTTTATTAAGCGTAAAAAATATATATATTTTTTAATTTTTAAAACTTAAAAAAAAACACATTATATTGGAAAATATAGTCATATATAACATCAACACCTTTTTCTCGTACATTAAAAACTAACTTAAAATCCTACTTATAACATAACAAGGGTGTCAACTATTGACATATGATCAAATTTCATTGTGTTTATTACAGTTTTTTTTTTGAAGAATTCATCAAAAAGAGAATATGATGAGTTTATTACAGTTTTTTTTTTTAAGAATTCATCAAAAAGAGAATATGATGAGATTGATAAAAATGGATGACATATATGAGAGAAGGGTGATAAGAACTCCCTCATAGTGACATAGGATCTATACAAAACTATAATCTTTATTTATATATCCGTAAAGGTATGCAAACTAAAACCTAATGTCCCTCCTCCTATATGCTAAGATCAAAGGGCGTTTTGGATGAATTATTTCAGCTTCACACTTTCTTTGTAATATGTTAATAGCATTATAATAATGTGTCTTATAATCATAATAAAATTCATCAAAGATTGAAACGTGTAATTTTGTCCAATGAGTGCGAATCCAACAAAGATTTGAAAACCTATGGTTGATCGAAACGTTTTATTTTGTCTGGTGGTGCAAATCCAACATTAGATATGGCCAGTGGATAAAGTGGGCAATTGGCATGTAATGCAAACAAATGGCAAAATAAAAGAAGCAATATTTTTTGGTAAATAGTACATTTTTAAAAGTCACGGTGAATAACCATAATAAATTTCTAATTGATGTAGCGGTTGATAATTATAATATTTATTTAAATTTAAGATTAACTGATTTATTAGTTTATAAAAAAATTATAAAATTATCAAAATTAGAATCCTAGAACAAGATTTTTGAAATGTAAAGATTTAATAACTGGGGTAACAATTTTATAATAACTCTAAAAAAAACAACATTCAAAAACTCCTATAAAAATCTAAAAGTAATTTAACAGTTGAATAAATTTTTTTGATATTTTTAAACTATCAATTTAATTTGTTGTAACCAAATATTTTTTTAAATTTAGGTTTGTACTATTCATTTATAAATATATTTGCTAGGTTATCCACATAATCTATTTGTAATAGATTTTCATCTAATTATAGTAGATTTATACCTAACTGTTTAGAATTGCCTATAAAAACTATTATATAAACGAAATTTTTTTAAAATTTTAATTGGAGTATTTTTTTTTAAGTATACAAGTTTGACAAAGATTTATAATTTTACTCCTAATATATATATAAAATAAAAAAAATTATAAAATTATTATTTTTATTTAAAATGATCGATCAAATATATATTTGTATCCAACCAACTGATTTTCTAGCCATTATTATATTTTAAAAGCATGATATATTTAAATATTACTATTTTAAAACACAATAAATATTTTATCATATTTAAAAATAATAATATTTATTAAATATCATGTTTTAAAATCAAAAAGAAATAAAAATATAATAATTGATTTTTTTTCAAAAATAAAAATAAAATATTCTCCTCAAACTTTTAATTTACCTAATTTAAATAAAAATTCCAACATCAAAAGCTGCAAGGTCCCAGACAGCTCCTCCTACCTAATGGGAAATGTAGAGTGTAGACCCTACCCAGACACACCAACCAGTCTGCCACAGCTGAACATCATCATTAATCAACTTCTTACGTAACCTTAAGACAATCAAGTCTCTTCCTCCCTAATTCACATTTACCAACCTCAATTTGGTCTTGACATGGACTAGATTAACGTTAGTTTTTTACCAAAACCATGATGGAATTAACTTGTAGACTATAATCAAATTTAATAATATTTATTTTTACTTTTTTTTTTTGCTATAATTGTTATGAAATCTCATTCGTTCAAGTACTGGATTTTTTTATTATAAACATAACCAATTATCCATGTTAACTTAATCTTTATAAGAAGTTACTCTGAATTGGATAAATAAACAACGAAACTGTTTTTTACCGCTATTTTAGATAATTTTTAATTCAAAATTTCATGTTTTACTATTTTAATATATTCTCTTGATTATTATATATATAAAAAATCAATTGTGGAAATGTTTGTTCATCTAACATTCAATGAATTAATTAATATTTTAGCAATTACATTAGCAGATTTGCCAAAGTTATACATTTATATATGGCAATGATACATTTGCAATTGAGTGCTATCAGTTTCATAAATGTGGATGTACACACCCTCTTGAATCCCTATCCAAACAAATTGAGAATTTTTTTTTTAAATACATTAATTAGGTGTAAATATCTAGTTAAATTTAAATAAAATAAAAATATTTCTTTAGCCCATCATTGAGAATAAAAATATTTATATTTCAATTAATATTATTTCTAATATTGCTGTTATAAAAATAAACTTAAATACAAGTAGATATAGTTACCTAGTTTGATCTAATATCTAAATCATAAGTTGGGTGAGCCAATTCTCAAGTTAATGAGTTAATGTAGATTTATTTTTTTAATTTTTTTGTTTAAAACAATGTTGTATTATACAAAATTAAAATAAAAAAAATTAAAGCTATATAATTTGGATAAAAACTTAAAATGTTGTTTTAAGTTTTGATCTTAATAATTTTTGAAGTGATTTAAAATCAAAATCCAAGTTTTAAATAAATTGATTAAGATAAATTTTTTTATTGTAATCACTTTGTTTTTTTTTCCAAGCACATAGAAAAAAATCACCTGGTTAGTTAAATAGCTTTTATTTTTGTATTGGATCTCATATATAATTGTGTTTCAAATATTAATTTTGTAAAAAGTAAAATAACAAAACAACATGTTTATTATTTATTATAATCTAATTTTCACTTATTTTACATGCAAAAAACCATTTTTCAATGTTTTTAATAAATTTTTTAATTACAACTAAAAGTTTTTTTAAATTATTTTTTAAAATCATAACCATAAAAATTACTGTAACATAAAAAAACATTTAAAGATCAATTCATTGAAGAATGTTGAGTTTAATAAATATAAATGCTCAGCAAATATCCAATATTTATGTAGATTCAAGAACAACCTTTACTTGTTTACAGCTCTGCTAATTCTAATTGTTCATTTGTTTTCTTTAATCGATCGTTTTTCCAATTGTTTCTTTTCACCAAAAAGAAATTCCAATTGTCTCTCAATGATTAAAAAAACAGAAACATTGTACAAGCAAAAGACCCACGTGACACAGTCTTTGCTCATTGGTCGATGTGACTATCTTTTAACGTGTCAAGATTTTATGGATCCTTTGCATAAATCATGGTACGATGATAGAGACATGCCAATTGTTAATGTCTACTTTCCATATTTCCTTTCTATTTTTTTTATTTAATTTTCTGCGTTTCTAAACTTTTAAATATTTTAATCACTAAATTTTTTTCTTTCTTTCCTTATCTATCTTTGATTTTTCCTTAATTTTACCAAAAAAAGGGTAGACAAGGCGATGAGGCTTCTAAATTTCTTAATGCATTCTTAATTAGTTTAGAATTTATTTTTATTGCAAACATATTTGCCTTTTCCTTTCTTCTCTTTGAGAGCATTGAAGATTGATGAAAGATTAGAGAATTTGTGGTCATAGAATAAAGAGATCCATCCATCTATCTATCCATCCATTCATCAATCTTCAACCCACCAATCTGAATATCCTCTGCCGCTATGTGAATCTTACTATTCTAGGGTTTTTTACTGTCTTTGATTCTTTCCCGTTATACCGTTTTGATAACATATACCTCCTCCTTCTGTCCCTTCTCTCTCTCTCTATATATATAGGAAACACCTTCATGAATTCATTTCTTAACCATAGGACTTTAGACTGAATTTCGGTGTGCTTTTTCATGTTTTTAATCATCCCTAGCGTCCATTCTGTAAGGATTTCTAGTTTCTTTGGAGTTTTGTTGGTTGTTGTAAAATTTTCTTGAGCTTAAACACAAGATTTCTGGGATTTGGTGAGATATTGTATCATTTCAAAAATGATACTAGCTCTTTTTCTTTTTTATTTTTTTTTTAATTCTAACTTTAGGGTTTCATTGAGAATCCTTTATAACTTGGTTTAGATTTTCTATGAATATGTGAACTAGGAGGACATGGCGAGAGGAAAGATTCAGCTGAAAAGGATAGAGAATGCAACTAGCAGGCAAGTGACCTTCTCCAAGAGAAAAAATGGGTTATTGAAGAAAGCTTATGAGCTATCAATTCTGTGCGATGCTGAAGTTGCTGTGATCATATTTTCACAGAAAGGAACACTCTTCAAGTTTGCAAGCACTGATCAGTATGTTTCTTTTTCTTTCTCCTTCCTTGATTGCTTTGACCTTGTTTTTGATGATGCATAATATATAGAAAAGATCAGTATTATTAACTAAAGAAATGTCTTTAGAGAAGCTAATGATTTGGCAGATGGATTAGCTAAGAAAGCTTTAGGGAGAGATGCAGAGTGCATATTGTATTAATTAAGATGGCTCTATTGTTTTATATGGCTCTCTAAGTACATGCCTAGAGGAGACTGACTTGAAATACTTAATAGAGTTGAAAATGGCATGAAAACTTTGCTGCATCCTCCATGGCCTGTCACCAGCAGAATCTGTCATCCCATGTTTCGTTAGCTAGGTTCAATGGTGAAGACAAATGTATGTACGATATTGTAGGGGTCCTATATCGAGGGAAGCGATGAAATTTCAACTCATTAAATTGTACCATATAGATTTTACAGTGGTCCTTTCAGATTTGCATATCATAAGGAAATGCTTTGAGGGCGAATCAGATAGATAGATAGAAAATTTTAGTCATCAATGACCCTTGATTTTTCCCCCCTCTTCCTTTATGATCTTTGACATCTAGGGCTAAAATTAATGCTTTCTTGAGAAATGGACCTTGGCCATTTGTTTGTTTTGAGAACAAAGAAAAGAAAAAAGAAGATGAGTGCTAGCAAGTAGCAACTGTACTTCTAGTTTTAGCCAATTGGTTTTAGTTATAAAAATTGATGTACTAAAGCAAATTCTTTTACACACGTTTAATTGTAGTTTAAATAAAAAATATTCTTCTTGAAGTGAAAATAAAAATGGACAATAATTCAGGAAGAGATTTGTATATTGAATAGTCTTATTATTGTTTTTAAGGCTTGTTTAGTATTGCTTTGCAACCTACTTTTAATTAGTTTTTTTATTAAAAAAACAGGTCGAAAATTAATACTAAACAGGTCCTAAGTTCTAGATTGAAACCAAAGTGTAAATTGTGGAAAACTAACTTCATTTTACAATTGCAGCATGAACTCCAAAACAAATCTTAAGACAATGGATTCATTATATACCTGTAATTTGTAGTTTAGTTGATGGTTTCTTTGGTTTTAGCAACATCTTATGCTGTGAAAGAATTTGGATGTCTTTGCTTTGTATTGTACTTTGTCTTGTGTGCTATAGCTAGTTATGCTGTGAAAGAATTTGGATGTCTTTGCTTTGTATTGTACTTTGTCTTGTGTGCTATAGCTAGTTCTTGTTTGTGTCATTGTGTGCGATATTGAAATGCTTGTAAGAGACCTAATCTACTTGTCAACGTGTGTGGGAGGTACTTCAATCTCTGTGCTAAAGGCAACTGGAGGCATCATAATCTTCTTGTTTTCATCCATCGATCAGCTACTAGAGGCATGCTTTGTTGCAAAATTTTCTTCATGTGGAGCATCTATATGTGTTCGTACTAATTAATTATATTGAGTTGAAGAACATTAATAAAAAAAAAAATATAAACCAATTGAAAATTGAAAATAAGAAATTAATTATTTGCTCGAAATATTGAAGCTTGATGTGAGTTTACAGGTATATTTAGCTATTATCACCGGCCAACTCTACAAAAAGGGTCTGGTCCTGTATAGTAAATTGTGGATCGAATCTGTTAAGCTACAAAAAAGAGGCTTTGAAAAATGCTTGGTGTGGCTCCACACGTTGCAGCTCTTTTTGTTTGCTACTGTTCTTGATGCCTGTTACTACAAGCTGCCTTGAGAATGCTAGTCATCCTCTCTGAATCGACTGGTGATGAAGCCACTCGTTCTTGTGTTAGAATTTTCTGACCCTTACACTATATATTTCTTTTGTCCTTGTAAGCCTTTGTTTTTGTTCTCATTTATCTGTTCTCTTCTCCAATTGGGTTTAGATCCTAGAGCTACCAAATATACACTATCACACACACAAATTCTGCCTCTTCGATATTTGTTCATAAAAAAGTTTTAGTTCCATTTTTTTGAGTGATGCTAAATCTTATCAGATTTTCCTTCTAAAATCACTTCATAAAGGTTTAATATATAGAATGAGTGGATCCTATACATCTAGCCATATATTATCGAGGTATATACTTTAGTGGTAAGTTGTTACGTTAGAAAGGAGGAGAGCTGAGATAAATACAAGTTACAACGTGAAATAATCTGATCGTCACAATAAAGATTAGCTTTTACATGGAAAGTAAAAAGAAGTTTAATTTTCAATATTTATTAAAAATTGATCCCCTGAGTTCTTAGAATACACACCAAGAGTACATTACCACTTGCTATCTTTTATGTTTTCTGCAACGTAGGGACTGGATGCTAAGCATAGGGAGGTTATCCTTGTGAAATTTAACAAGGAAACAGAAACAATATGTGATATTCAAGTTATAGTCAAGATTTACAAGCATTATAGAGTGGTTCTTCTAGTTTTGTTCTCCCTTATTCCCTTAGGGATAAAGGAAAGCTTCATGACTTGATGCTATCTTATATGTTTGGGATGCTTCAGGATACAAAAGACGATTGATCGTTACCGTAAAAATGCAAGGCAATTGCACACTGACAGGATTGATATGGAACAATCTAAGGAGGTTAGGCCTTTTATCATGTGAATCTTTATATGTAATTAGATTGTTAAGACTGTGTGACTGTCTAGTTCAAGAAATTGCCTCTTCCTTTGTCAATCACTATTTCTTCACCGTAAGTAATTCGACATGCAGCAATTAAGACAAGAATCAGCAAACATGGCCAAGAAGATTGAGATCATCGAGATTTTGCAACGGTGAATAACCTAGTTTGATTCTTCTTCTCCCAATTTTCTATATAGCGATTATGTCTGGTGTGTGTGCTATTGGGTCTCACTGAAGTTCTGAAATTTGTTTCTTAGAAAGCTTTTAGGGCAAGATTTAGATTCATGTTCTCCCGAAGAGCTCCATGACATTGGCAATCAGCTTGAGATCAGTTTAAGCAAAATCAGGGCTAGAAAGGTATATGTTTCTCTGAAGAAACTGTGTCAAATGTGGCAGACAAAAGATTGTTGGATAGCTTTGGACTGCCTAATTAGGAGTTCTGGGTTTAATCAATAAACTCAAACGCTAACAAGTTTTTATTGGTTATAATTCAGACTCAGTTATTCAAGGAGCAGATAGAACAGCTGCAAGCAAAGGTAATTAGAGGTGTTGGTTTAGCTTTACAGTTGTATTAAAGCAATTTCTTCTAATTGTTTTCTCATTCCTATTTCAGGAAAGATTGTTGTTAATGGAGAATGCAATGCTAACTAAACAGGTAAACCCTTGCTTTTCGTTATACATATATAGTTCTCAACCTAACATGCGCTATGACTGTTTTTAGCAAAGGTTAGTATTCTGAAATCATGATGAATATGGTACCATGGGCCGGGTTTTACATTATAGAGCAATCAGAGTTATTATTTTTGTTCAAAATAGCCTTGTTTGTTTGTTTTTTTAAAATAAATTCATTGATTTTAACGATAAAATTTAACATAGTTAACCAGATCATTACTACAACGTCTAAACATCAAAACGATTCCATGTTGATTTCTCAACCCTTTGGCTGCTAAGAAACCTCACTGCTAAAAAATGAGCTATTAGCAACTAATTAGTCAGTTATAGATAATATTAAAATCTATTATTGATAAAATTCAGCAATAAAATTAGTAATAGATAATTTCAAATGCAAATAATAAATATTTATTTTTTTATAATGGATTATCAGTTGCTGATTTATTTAGTAACTAATTATACGTTGCTGAAATTCAGTTGCTGAATGTATAAATTAACAACGAATATTTCGTTGATTAAAAATTCTTATTCAATTCAATTTTAATTTCAATAATATTAATATTTTTATTAACACAAAATTAAACTCACATTTTCACAATCTGCCCTCTTTTACATTTTTGCTGCCTACATTCTTTCTTTGTATCCGTTCATATTGCAAAGCGGGGTGACGACAGGTTGATTGAAAAGAGCAGGGCAAACGAAAACCTCTAGAGAAAACTTTGCTCAATACCTAGGAAAATTTTATCCTTATCTCTCGTTGATTTCTATTACAATCCCAAATTAAAGCCAAAAACATTCCTAATCTCTCTCTCTCTCTCTCTCAGAGAAGAAGTTTGGAAGCATGAATTAACTAGAGAAGAAGTTAAGAAAATAAAAAATTATATTTGTGAAAAATAACGCATGACAGAAATAGGTAGAATTGAAAGGGATATATAGGTATGGTTTCTGGAGAATGAATAGAAAAGGAGATATGAGTTTGGTTTATAAAGAAGTATAGAAAGAGATAATATTGAGTTCTTCCAAAGAATGAAGAAATTTTGCAATTGTGGGGTTTCTTTTGTTTTCTAGAGAAGTATAGAAAAGGTGATTATTATTTATTGTTTTTTTTTTTATAAAAGTTAAATTTTTTTAACAGCAACCATATTAGCAATAGTAAATTCGTTGCTGATTTTTAATATATTAATTTATATTTTAGTATTTGATTTTTCATTACTAATCCGTTGTTAATATTAAAAAATTAATATATATATATATATATATAATTTGTTACTAATTTATTACTAAAATTATATCTAAATTATTCTAATACTAACATCCATGCTAATCACCCTTCTTTTTAATAGTGCCTCTCTAATGGGATGGTCTTCTTGTCATCTGTCAGAAATTCTAATGGCTTTGTTTGAAAGTTTTGTTGATATATTTGTCTTGGTGTTGGTTTAGTGTGATGCACAGCCATTGCAGCAATCAACTCAATCGAACCAAGTGGTGTCATACTTGAGCTCATGTAGCAAGAGTTCAGAAATCGTGGAGACTGATCTGTACATTGGACTGCCACAGATGCGCTGCTTGTAGTTTTTCTCATGCTTTTACTGATTTATATTTAAGTATGATTGATTTTCATGTTGGAATGCTCTTGTTGCCAACATCAAACAATTGTTCTTCTCTGTAATTTAATGTATGGCATGCAATAAGGGAGACGTATATAATTCAATAAAATAACGACGATATATATATTGGCCTCATATATTCAATTCTATTTACACTTGCTAGGCTCCAATTAAGAGGGAATTGTGGGCTCTACGTAAATGAAAACATCGCAATTAATCCATATTCTTATTATAATTATTAAATCAATTAATTAATTTGTCTTTAAAATTCTTGAAAGATGAAATATCACAGATATTTAGTATTAAGATCTTAGGAACGATTACTGATTTTTAAATAAAAATTCCGATAGTTAAAGCTTAAAATTTTTATTTTGAGGTTTCAAACTCAAATTTAAGGACAAGTGATAAAGATTTCCTTATTAATTAATCATGTACTTATTTACGATTACAGATAATCGATGAAGTTTTAAAAATATTAGGATACCACTACTCAAGAAATCATTTGATGATCAATATGGGTTTGTTTTTACTATTATTTCTTCTTGATTTATTAATTAGAAGGTGTGTTGACTTCCTCTATTATATAATAATTAAGTAAATTATATATGATTATTAAGATCCAAACATATTGTATTGAATAAAGTTATTAATAAGACTGTCTCTCACTAATTTATTTGCATGATTTAGGCATGTAGACCATTAGCCCATCTGTACCCGAAATCCTCTCTTCAACAATGGCTCCACTTCTGTACCGAAGACTAAACATATCCTCTTCCACTCCTAATTAAACCCTAGCCTATGTCCAGCAGCTCCAGCAACTTAGGCCCTAACCAGCACACATGTTTTATGGACATAGAATGGTCCATTCGGTCAATTATTTGGTGCATTTAATCGATGAACATATAAGACTTTTTGACAAGCTACTGGAAAAACAATGTATATATTTCTCTAGAGGCTGCTATAAGACATAGATCTAGCTACATGATTCAGTAAGAATTACTTTTTTATTTGTAATATCATGTCTCGAGATAAAATCAAAATCTAGTGTAATATTGGCAATTTCTCCAGATATCCAACGTCATCTAATCTAATAAAATGAGTTTTTATCATGTTTGACCTGAATTAATATGAAGATGGGTAAGGAGTTTACCCGATTCATCAGTATTCGACTTAGTTTTTAATATATATATATATATATATATATTTCAATAACATATATGAAATCTTATAGTTTTATGCATGAATTTACAGTTGAGACTCTATTTTATGATTCATGTGGTTTATTTTTTAAGATTTAAATTATTCTTAAAACTTGATTGTTATTTAAAAAAAAAAATTAGGTTAGGTTGGGCAAGTTCCCCACCTAACCCTATCCAAATTAAAAATGCTAACGGTTGTAGATTTAAATACTCTAAGTTGGAAAAAGTTGGAACACTATCCCTAGATTGTATATAACAATGTGTATAGTTTCTTAAGATGATATACTTTTCTCCAACACAAATCAGTACATTTCTCCTTTTTTTTTTTTTTTACCATAATCATATGTTACTCACTCAAATATATGATATAAAATATAATAGGGTATTTGAGAATATGATAGTAGTTATTTTTCAGAGTATTTTTTATTGGATATATATCAAAATAATATATTTTTTTATTTTTAAAAATTTATTTTGAACATTAACATATCAAAATAATTTGAAAACATTAAAAAAATAATATAAAAAAATAAAAAATATAATTTTTTAAATATACTTTTAAAATATATACTATAATCGTTTTGGCCCTCAAAGCTGGACCACTTTGATTTTGAAAAATGTATTCTCTCGCTGTTCGTTTTCTATCTTCCAATTTAATTAGATTTCAGAGTTAGTGAGGAATATCATGCAGGGGAATCTGCCAAGTTTTGCGCAAAATTGACTCATCCCTTAATGCATACTATAATATTGCATAGGGGGGAAAGAACGGTAATATTTGGCAGCATTTGAAAAAATAAATCATTTAATTAAGTAAGTTTGTGCCTGCATGAAACTTTTTATTATAGGAAATAAATCTACATTCGAGTAATAGATACTTTTTTTAAAATTTTATATTATTATATTAAAATTAATAAAAAATAGTTAAAAAAATATAAATTAGTACTCCACCGTGTAATATAAATATTAAAAAAATATAAATATAAATATAAATATATATTTTTAAATATTTTTTATAATTTTAATATAATAATATACATTTTTTTTAAATTTATTTTAATTAATGTATTTAAAAAACTATTTTAAAAATTACTCTACCGTGTAATACCATATAAAAGGTGACAACCAAGGATTACCTTTGCTAGAAACTATTTTAAAAATTAATTTCCAATGTAATATCATATAGAAGGTGACAGCCAAGGATTACCTTTGTAAGAAACAGCTCCAAAATCATTCAAGGGACAGTTGGTCAACCAACCATAGAAGTTTCCATTAATGACTCTCTCTCTCTCTCTCTCTCACATCACATCACTTCACATTATTGATTGACAACCATAATTACAAAGCTTCACGCAAGTTGCAGCCCACATGCAAATTTGATTTTAATGTTTTATTTTATTTTAAAATTTCATTTGAATTCTACATGTACATGACTGCATTTGCATGATTAATTTGCATATCTATATTAAATAGCACAGCAGGGAAAGTTTTTCCCAGGCTAACACAACTGAAAATATGAACAATGCTAAATCTAGTGTGAAAAATATTTTAGTTGTAGACTAGTTACATTGTTCACTTTAATAATATAATGATATTTTTGTCTCTCTCATTAAAAAATTTACACCCGATTAGGATCTTTTTATAAATATGTTACTCTTTTTTAAACTCATTAGAAATAAATATTTAAATACCATCAAATGAAAAATTTTAAATATTGGCATCAAAAAGCAATTTAGTACTTCTCAACTTTTTTTTTATTATTATCATACAAGCGTAGGGATAATTTTGTATTTGTCCAAACATAATAAATAATAAAAATATTAAAAGCACAATAAAAAAACAATCAAAATGCCTTTGAAAGTTGAAAAATTAAATTTGACATTGAGGGTTTTTTCATCCTTTCTCGAAGGCTTTTTTATATTAACATGTTGGATTAATAACAATTTAATATTTATCTAAATACTTAAAAAGAATAAATTAAATGTTTGTATAGTACTAAGAGGCTTATGGGAGGTGCTGGTGACCTTATGATAGCATGTGCGGTGACTTCTATCATCTAAAAATATTTTTTTATTGTATTATTGAAATAGTTAATATATCATTTTCTTGTTAGTGTGACATGTGTCATTGGTGATAATTTGGTTTATAATCAATGAACCTTTATTTTTTCTCTCTGAAAATTATATATTGGCCCTATTTGTTGTTTGTATTTCAACTTCAGTCTTTATTCTTTTAATTTTTTTTATCTTGATTTTTTTGTAAAAGTTTTATTTGTTTTCAATTTCATCATTCAATCCCAATTTATCAAATATTACATTCTTCAATTTGATCCTCATTATTTTGATTTTTGTTTTTTTCTTGGTTTTTTTATAAAATTTTTATTGGTTTTCAATTGATAGTATTATATTTTTTGATTTGGTCTTTATTATTTTGATTTCTAATTTTTTCTTGATTCTTTCATAAAAGTTATTATTCTTTTTAATTTCACTTTTTAATCAAAACTATATATTTTTATTTTTCAATGTCTATTTTAATCTTGATTTTTTTTTTAAATTTTTGATCATTTAATTAAATTTATTTTTTTTTACAACTCTTGGATAGTGTCAATTTGAAGGAGAATATTTTAATGTCATTAAAGAGTCTTTTTTTCTTTAATTCTCTAGCACTATTAACTTGTAATTTTCATCAAACACCACTATGATCATCATTTTATCATTAATATAACCATTAATTTATCATAGCATTATACTATAACTCTCCACCACAACCACCCACTATCACCTTCTTTCACCATTTTACCATAATCTCATCGTAACAATCTAATACAACTACTAATATAATAATAATAATTATTATCATCATTATTATTATTGTCACCGTAGTTACCATAACTAACTTATTATTAAAATAATTATCATTTCATCTCTTTTTTTTTTTATCGCCGTTACCATAACAATTATCATTTTACTACTGGCCATCATTATTATTGATAGTATTAATATCTTAACATTACATTAACTATAATCATCGTTAACGCTGCAATCATAATTATCAATACCATATTTATGACAAACATTGTGATTTAAAATAAAAAACTTATTTAGTAACCTCATTCAAAAACATTAATAAAGAATTAGATATTATAAGAAAACATTTTTTTTATATATCCAAACAATGGAAAATAACTTAATTTTTAGAAAACTGGTTTTTATAGAAAAAAATATATAATTAAAAAAACAAACAGATTATGTATATGGCAAGCATGACAATGCATTAAGTGTTCTTCCATTCTAATTATGCATGATTTAGCTTGAAAAACTAGGTGGTAATATTTATGGGAAGTGGGTAGGGTTTTTTTTATATATTAAAAAAAAATTTATAACTCAAAATTCTAACAGAAATTGATATCAATTAAGTTAATTCAATTATACTTACAGATGATACACTTCAAAGTATTGAACTTACTTTGTGCTTTTCTACTAAAGTGTTTCCTCCCCTATTTTTGAGAATCTGTTAAAAGGATGGTGTGTGTGTGTTTGGCTTACCCACGTTGTCTGCTTTACAATTTGGTCTCACAGTCACAGCTTTGAGGAGGCTTTAAAGCTCAAGTGTACATGTGGATGTCTCGGGTCCACGCAAAACCATCTTTTCAATCAATGGCCTTTTTCACTTTTCTGCACTTTTACAAGCTCAAATTTCCATGAAGAAATCCGATCCAAATCTATCCTGGAAAGTGAAAAAAATACTTGTGTTGAAAGTTTTCGATTTCGTTTCTTTTCTTGACCTGGCTTCAAAATTTCTTGTTCACCAGTGCTTTCTTTGCTTAAGGTAACTCCTGTAGAATCCCATCTGTAATCAACTATTGTAGGTTATTACAACAAAAATCATCAATCAAGTATATATCTGACAATACAATTACAAACGTAGTTGAATTAAAAAAATTATTAGGTTTATATATTTTATATTTTTAGCCGCAACTTCTCAGTTTCATTTTAAAAATTGAAGTTATTAAGTGAAATTTTATTAATAAATTTTATATTAATATAAAACTTTATTAATGAATTTTATATTAATATATCATCTAAAATCAAAATTCTCTATATTTAAAATTTTTATATATAAAATAAAGATGTTGAGATTTGAATTAAGATTATTAAAGTTTTAATACCTTATCAAATAATTATTTTAATTACAAAATTTAAGTTGTTAAATAAATTTATTAATACATAATAATCTTTATGTTAACTTTTGAATACACATCACTACATGGGAACTCGAATTCATTAAACTAGTCAATTATATATTATTAATCCGGATGATGTTGCGCGGTAGAATAATTTTCTTCTATATCAAAATGGAGATCACACACAGCAATTAATTATATATACGACCACAACATAAGGGCAGATTCTTCCTTGTAAATTAGTAACCTGTAAGATCAACTTTATTTAATTGCTCTTTTAATTAAGTTGGCAATAAATTATATGATACGGAGTTTCTTCCATGAGCAACGTTTGTTTTTACAAAAGTATGGCTGGTTTTCAATTTCAGTGGACTTATCTGAAAAAAGATAGTAAAAACGAAAGGAGGATAAAAGGCAAGTAACGATAGACTAAGATTGAAACACATAATCATGGACACCATGATGGTCCATCTGATGATGACAATCTGAAAAATCACAGATGAAGGTACAAAACCGTATATTACACCATTACAGGACCACTACTAAGAACCCGATCTGTTTTAAGATTAAAAAGAACATCATCAAATAAAGGAAAAGGTGATAGATATACTATACAATATACTTACAGGGGGGAGAGAGAGGGAGAGAGGGGGGGGAGAGGGAGAGAGAGAGGAATGGAATCCTCTGTCAATAGTTGCTGTCTTTCAAGAGCCAATGAGATAGCAGGTGTGTTGTTGTCGGATAAAAGAGTCTGAATCTCCACTTGTAGACCAACCTCTTTTTTACAAGTCCCAACCTTTAGTTTGGACCCCCCCTAACATATAGCATCTCATCACGTGAATAACCCATGTGACCCTTCTGCTCTCTTGTCTCTCTACCATCACTTGAATCCATCCCCATAACTCTACTCGAATATTGTCTAATATTGTCTAACTTATGGTAATTAATCGATCCACTTCGTTATTCACCATAAAAAATCATAGCCGTTTCATGTATTAATGTGTCCATGATGTCCTTCTCCACTTCCATTACAATCCTTTCACCTTCTTCTCCGAATGCAATTTCACTTTGATCCTTCAATTGGGCCAAATCTTTGTCTATTAACCCATCGATGTCTTTGAGATCGTGGCAATCAGCGCAAGGGAAGCTCCTAAGCTTTGTACATAACATTTGAACCAAATGCGACCCATTCATGTGACTAATTGGATCCTGCTGACTAAGCATGCCTAACCTAGTACGACTCCAAGGTTTCATGTTGATGTATGGACGCAAAATGTCGACCAAAATTTCATCAACAAGATTGAACAACAATTTTCGATTGCTTCGACGGTTTAAGGTGCGATTATTCTCACAAGTACTGGTAACATAGCTAGGAGTGGTAAGATGTTCGAGGTAGTAAAAAGTCGAAGGGTTTAGAGGATGAGAAGGAGAAAACCACCTAGTAAAAGACACCGGGGTATCTTTGTCTACACCTGTACGTTTTAGTATTCTAGTAATGTACTCATATTCTTCTCCTGATGCTCCATCTCCGGTGGGGATAATATTGGTGGCGACACCGTTATTACACCTATCCTCATTGTTATTTTCTTGGGAATCGAGCCTACGCGTCGCTTGTTGTTGTTTGTACGACTGGCTCGAACAACTAGATAACTGTGAGCTCCATTTCGATTCTTGAGCAACATTTGATACCTATATTTATAACATAACACATGCAAGAAAAGTAATCTAATTATTTCCTTGAAAAATAAGCAAAATGTGCATCTTATAACTAAAATTTTGAAAAAGGAAAGGGAAAGTAGCCATGTAGCACCTGTTTTTGAGGGATTTTTGTCGCTGGAGGAGTAGGGTCTTTCTTGACAGGAAGGAGAGTTGGCAGAGAGATGGTGAGGTCATTTGATAATGGGGTTTTCTTGCATTTCTTGTCAGGAATATTGGTTCTTGTAACTGATGTTGAAAGTACAAATGGATCTTCCTTGTTGGTTCTGATAATATCTGATGATTTTAGAGGTTTCTCGATGAGTCTTGATGGTGGTGGATCATATTTTTCTTCAGTCACTTTCTTGCAATTCTTGGAAGGTCTCTGCTGATGCTGATGGTGGCATTGATCCTGCAGGAGGACCTCAGGCAAATCTGGCTTTGTTGAAGGTTTGGTATTTTGAGACAGAAGTAGTGATGGTTTTTTAGAATGAGAATTATTATTGTGGTCCTCGCAAGGTAGAGTTGTGATTGGCTTGTTTTTGGGTTCCAAGAATTTGAGTCTTGGAGAGCAAGAAGTTGTGGTAACATGATGGTTTCCTGGACTATTACCTGTAACATCAACAATTTTTGTGCTACTTGGAACTTTGGAGAGAATTTTCTTGGACTTGTATTGACTAATAAGCTCAAGCTCTTGATCTCTTCTTCTTGTTTGCTCTCTATTTCTTACCGTGTTTGTAATATCCAAGCCGACTTTCCTGGTCACACTTTCTTTAACTTGCTTCACAATTTGCCTCGCATAGTGGCCTGGACTGCTGTTCTCTTCTTCAACTTTGAGCTCTATTCTTTTCAAAGATGAGAGACGAGAGAGCATCAAGTCTTCACTTACATTTTCTTTGTTGATTTGGAGTGACAAACGGTGCTCTACATCTGATCTTCTAGCTGACGATATTCTTGGTGTCTCAGGCAAAGAACGGGTGCCTGAAAAATCATGGTCCAAATAACTTCGAGGGCTACTTGTTTTGCTATGGAGAGGACGTGGTTGTTGAGGTCTGCAATTTTGGTTATGAAAATGGGATTTTGGTGGAAGGTTTGGTGTGCCAAGAGTTGATGAAGAAGAATGGCTTGGCGAGTTGGTAAGATGATCAGGAAGAAGATCAAGCCCCATAAGTCTAGCTACCAAATTTGGTGTCTTGGTTCCTGGAGAAGAGCTGATCTCTGATGAAGATGAATCATTTGGAACTCCTTTTGTTTTAATTTGAATACCAATCTGGATTTTTCAAAAAGAAAACCACAATCTATATCATCATTATTATAATCATTAGTAACTTTACTGAATAAAAAATATTAGGAAAAGAAAAGGGTGATAAAGCTCCCAAGGAAAGAGTTTTTGAAAAACAAAATTCTAGGTGGCTAGCTAGCTAGCTAGTTAACATAATAAAACTTACAGGGATATTGAGATTTTCGTCTTTTGATGATGGCAATGAAGGCTCCTCTTCCAATTCCAAGCTATTCCTGGGTGCTTCAACACCTAAGTCAAACAAAATTACGTTACTCAAAGTTTCTCCAAAAACCAAGAAAAGAGAAAGAGAAATAATAAAAGAGCTACGTACCTTTTGGGATTGGATGATCCTGCAGAGGAAGGAAAGAGTTGGGCTGAAGAACGTTAGAAGGCTGTTGTTGAAACTGATTTAAAGCAAATAACTGAAACACAGCACACATACAACTAGTAGATAAATTAGCAGTATCTTTCTCTCCCTCTCTCCCACCTTCACGGCCACCACCACCACTACCACCACCTTTCTTCAAGGTTTTACCACCACCCCAATAATACCATTCCCTTCCCATGTCTAGTAACAGTTTCTCTTTTGCTTTGAATGTACACAAGAAACAAAGATATGGGTTGGTCTAAAACACAAGAAGATGAGGGTGATGATGACAAGAAGTAGTAGCAGGAGTAGGAGTTTTAGATTACAGAGATAGAGAGAGAGACAGAGAGAGAGATAGGAGCTTGAAATGTTTATAGGTGGCAGATTGAACTTTGAAGAAGCGGAAAAAGCGGATCCATGAAGCATATAAAATCAAGTCTAACAACAACTTTTGATTTTGGTTTAATTGTATTTTATTTAGTCCCTCCACTTTAGACATTTTCTTACTATGGTACTGCTTCTTTTTTCTACTTCTTGATCCTTAAGAAATAAATCATAGTTATTCAACCCGTCAGGTTAACTTAGAAAGCCCTTGACCTGGAGTCTAAACCGGGACAAAATATTTTTTTGGTTGAAATCAAGACATGCTTTAATTTGAATTGAAAAAAACATTAAGCATGCTAAATTAATCTTGTTTGTCTATGACATGGTTAACTCAACTACACTTGGTTTAAATTCAATTAATGATTTTTGACTGATGAGTTAACTCCACAATGTTTTTACGATAAAAAAATATTAAATCAAGTTTTCTTAATAATTCATGAATTGACCGACGATTCAGAAACATAAATCTTTTTCTATGTTAGATTTTGTGCATATTTGACATTTATGATAAAAATTGTAGTTTTTATATAATAAAAATATTTTCTTCTTTTTTTTTCAACAAGTAGATTTTTTTTTATCATAAGTTTTAATATATATATATATATATAAGAAATACATTTTTCTATGTGTATCGAAAATTTAATCGCTATCATAGAAATATTAAATTTCATGTATTCCATACTCTAATCTATAATATGCACAGCCTGACATTCATATATAAATAAAGTGAAATATATTATGAATGTATTCTTTTGGCCTTCCTTTTTTTATCTAACATCATATTTCTAATCTTTTTCTTTTTAAAAATTTACCGATCGAAGTTTTTATCTAACATCGTATTTCTAATCCTTTTCTTTTTAAAAATTTACCGATCGAAGTATCAAAGGCGAAAGGGACTCCCAGGCCAGGACATGTCTCGCTGAATGCTTAGGGTCACTGAAGAAAATTAGTAGAGTTAAGAATAATTGGGAGGCTTAACCTAATGGTTAGCGAACCCTATATATAGGGTAATATCCAATAGCAATGATAAAGGTTACCACACAAGAGTATATAAACAATATTTCCTATATAGTATTTTTTATATAAGTACATTCTATAATATACCCCCTAAAACTAAGGGTGGAGGATCAACCCGAAGCTTGAAACGAAAAGCAGTAAAGGAAGAAGTGGGAAGTGGCTTAATGAAGACATCAACAAGTTGATCTCGAGAGGAAATAAAACAAATCTAAATTTCCTTCTTGGCAACTCTATCTCGGACAAAATGATAATCGATCTCAACATGTTTTGTGCGAGTATGAAAGATAGGATTCGCAGACAAAAAGGTGGCACCAAGATTGTCACACCAGATGATAGGAGCAGAAGCAAACAGAATCTGGAGATCTGTTAAGAAGTATAGAAGCCATATAACCTCAATAGTGTCATCGGCTAAGGCTTTGTACTCAGCTTCAATAGAAAAGCGAGCAATTGTGCGTTGCTTACCGAATTTCCATGAAATCGGCGTCTGACCAAAGAACACAAGGTAATCACCCATAGATTTTCTATCCTCAACAATGTCTGCCCAATCTGCATTTGTAAAACCATGTAAGGCAAAAGAGAAACTATGAGTAATATGCAAGCCATGGGATGCCATACCTCAAAGATAATGCAGGATGCGTTTCACGGCAGCCAAATGAGAATTTGTAGAAACATACATAAACTGATATACTCTGTTAACAGCAAAGCAAATATCTGAGAGCGTAAAAGTGAGATATTGAAGAGCACCCACAATTTGACAAAAGCGAGTAGCATCAGAAAATAATAGATCGAGCATAATGGTAACTTTAAATGTAGAGATAGGAGTATCAACAGGTTTGCAAAATAACATACTAGCCCGAGTGAGGATATCAAGTGTATATTTATACTGGTGGAGCACAAGACCCATAGTAGTAGACTGAACCTCAATACCCAAAAAATAATGAACAGAACCCAAGTCACGAATCTTAAATTCTAAGCTCAGTAGCTGAACGAGGTATTGGAGCAGAAGAGACTTATTACCGTAAGCAGAATATCATCAACGTAGACCAGAAGATAATAAATATCAACACCAACAGACAAGATAAACAATGAGGTATCCACCTTAGATGCACGGAAACCAATAGATAACAGGAAATCATTCAGATAAGTGTATCAAGCCCGCGGAGCCTATTTTAAACTATATAAAGATTTATGTAAGCGACACACATGAGAGGGGAGAGCAGAATCAACAAAACCTAGAGGTTATTTCATGTAGACCTCCTCATCAAAAACACCATTAAGAAAGGCATTATGGATATCAAGCTGATGAAATTTCCAAACACACAAAACGACAATGGAAAAGACTAATCTGATGGTTGCCTGTTTGATGATAGGACTAAAGGTTTCGAAGTAATCAATACCTTTTTACTAAGTAAAACCCCTAGCAACCAGACGCGATTTATACCTCTCAATGCTACCATCAGATTTGCGTTTAATCTTGTATACCCACCTACTACCAACAACATTCATGGAGGGGTGAAATGGTACTAACCCAAGTTCTATTTGCACGCAAGGCCTGAATTTCCTCATTCATAACACTATACCATGCCTTATATCTGTTAGCATCATTAACAACAATTGGCTTATGAGAGGGAGGAGAAACTATCAGGCTGAAGGAGGCAGTAGAGCTTGTGGTAGTGGTAGTGGACAACGCTGTCTTGGACAGAGGATGATGGGATGTTGACGAGCTGCTGGACATGAAGAAGTGTGACTTGTAATTGGAAGGTGCTGAAGAGGATATGAAGAGAGGTCTACACAAAGCTGCAGACCAGACCAGCTGGAGATGTAGTGGATGGACTGGTCAGTACTGCAGAAGATGGGGAGGCTGCGGCAGAGCTGGGATGTTCTGCAGCAGACCAGAGAACATGTACATTTGATGATGGAGAACCTGTTCCTGCATAATAATCATTGAAAAAACAAGTATATGGTGATAGTATGACAGGGTGGGATGGGGATGGAGGGGTGGCAGAAGTATGGTTAAAGGGATGGTCTGGTGGGGTGCGGCAGAAGGAAAAATTGGATTATGTGAAGGAGAAGGTTAGGGAGTAGTAGGTGGAAAACATAGAGGAGGGAAAAGTGACAAATTAACCAATGATGAATACCAATAATCTGAAAAAAATTATTTAATTTACGATATTCACCGCCATAATTAGTTTGAACAGATTTAATTTTAAGGAAAAACTGACGCTCAACAAATGTTTGAAAACATTGAAAAGTGGAAAAACATCAAATTTCACAATAAACGGATAATACCATATATGTTTAGAATGCGCATCGACAAAAATAACAAAATAACGGAAGCTATCAGAAGAAAACATAGGAGCAGGACTCTAAAGATCACTAAAAATTAATTCAAGTAAGGCAGAAGTTTTGTGACCCGTAGGTCATAATGACAAACAGGACGACTTTCCTAAAGGACAAGCTTGACACTAAGTAAGCGTAATGACAAACGGGATGACTTTCCTAAAGGACAAGCTTGACACTGAGTAAGAGAATGTCTAGAAGTATATATGATTTTATTGTTGGAAACTAACAAATTGAAAATGCAAAGGGTTGGATGACCTAAACGATGATGCCACAGGTCGACAATCGCGAAGATGCAAGGAGACCAAAAAGCTTAAGGAACTGACGTGGTAGAAGACTCGAAGAGGAAATAAAGGCCATCATAACTCTGACCGAAAAGGAGAACTTTCTTGGTGACGAGATCCTTCACATAAAAAATTCAAAATAAACATGATTATCATAATAGAATTTTTGAACAGATAACAATAGTTTGGTAATATGAGGCACATGGAGAACATTAGATAATGTAAACATGTGTTTTGGGCAATGTAATTTAGTATGTCCAATATAGGATATGTCATATCGTCACCAATATGCAAATAATCATTACCAAGATAGGGTGCAGAATTAGTCAGAGTTCCAAGATTAGGTGTGAAGTGTTGATTTGCGACAATGTTGGGGAACCAAGTCGCAACAGAAATATTCCCAATAGTAAGATGAGCAAAGGGCTGCTGAGTGCTGCTACGAAACTAGGAACAATGAGGAGTTGTGTGCCCAAAACCGGAGCACAATTAGCAATGTATATATTGCTATCTAGACCACTACCCAGCCCTAGAATTGTGCCTGATCTGTTGCCAGTGGTTTGGCTGTTAATCTGCAGTAGATTGGCCTTTATTACGGGGAGTGGAACAGTTGTTGTGGGGACGCTAATTACCTTTATAATGACCCTTGTTGCGGCTGAAGTTGGGGTTGTGATGAGACATAACATGGTGTGCAAAAAATTATTTTGTTGGTAGCAGGGGCAGCTGCTATAGCAGAGAAGAAGAAGACAACAAAGAGGGAGCGGGAGCCATGGAATGGAAAAAGTTCTTGTGCAGAAATTCATGGGTAAGAAGGTGGTTATGAAGATCAATATAGGATAATGGTTCTGTCTTGGTTATAAGACTCATTACCAAGTCTTTAAACTCGCCACGAAGGCCATGAAACACATAAAGATTAAAATCTTCAAGAGACATGAGGCGACTAGTAGTAGCCAATTCATCAAATAACGATTTGGCTTGCTGCATGTATAGACTAACCAATGAGTCACCTTGCTGAAGGTCTTGAAATGAGCCATGAAGTTGCATGATGCGAGAATTAGACGGAGAGGCAAATGCTTTCTCATGAGTGCGCCAAACACAATGCAAAGTAAAATAATCTACCACGAGATGCAACACATCCATGAAGAGAGAGGAGAGTAAAGCACTCAAATAAGTCGATCCTGTTGCTTCCAACGAAGAAAAGAGAGGCTGATGGTAGAGGAAGAACCAGCAAAGCTGTAAAAAATATAAGATAAAGGACACGACACTAACCCATTAATGAAGTGAAAAACACCTTGACCAAAAAGATATGGCTTCATCTGCATTCTCCAATAGAGATAATTT